TAAATCTGTGTTTATGAATTTTACTACTGGTAAAATGCCTCCCCATTTTCTGTGAAAAATTTTGCAGCATTATTCAACAAGTTTCAAAATATGGTACTACTATAGGCAAAATAGTACGTGCATGGGGTGAATTTATTGTTTGTAAAATGCACAAGATCTCAAAAAATAAATTATGTTTTCATGTGATTGAGCTGTGTGTGATGAGTGCTGGCAGTCCTTCTGTGGACCTTTGGTGTCAGTTTTGTTGGTTTTGGTTAGATCCACTTGGGTCTTGTATGCCCAGGCCAACATGAACACTTCAAATTGGAATTTAGGAGGAAAAGTTTGATTGAGAGCAGAAGATTAGATGTAACACTGAAAAGTTAGGCTCCTTGTCAGCAGAAAGAGTCATGTTTCTGATGTTTCCCAGTCTCTTTCTTTAGCAAGTTTGTTACTATCTCCAGCACAGCACATATGCCAGTGATACGCTTGTCATGAAGTCAACTTCTTTTAGTAATGCTACTATTGTAAAAAATCATAGTCAAGGTACGAGGAGCGACTCCGTTTGGTCAGAGGTAGATCCAGTCAACCATGTGTGGTTCAGGACTTTCTGTGACAGTTGGCTGTTTTCATCACATAAAAGTTCATGGCCTGATTTTTTTCACTGTTTCACCAGTTATGAGTTTATTGAAGTATAAGATATAGTTCATAAAAATGTGTATAAAGGGATATGTGGAAAGTAAAATAATAATTTTCTTTGTGCTGTGAGTCAGGGAAAAATAATGTGCAGCTTATATCAGGTTTCAACATAACTATATCTGAACAAAAATAAAAGGAACTCTACAGCCTTAAAGCATTAGCAAGTCTATTACTGTCCTAAATTATTCTTCTAACATACTATGGAATTAATCATGACTCACACATCAGTGGGTCACAAATTAGTAGACACAGAAATGAGAAATGGTTTGCCATTATAAAATACATATATCAAGAGTTGCTCAGGCCATTTTTAAGTGTCATATCAATCAGGAGTCTTGAGGTTAATAATTCTGCTCATGTTTTTAAAGAAAGAGCTAAGGACAATCAAGAGAGAGGTTCCAGTGTCAGCTTTGACAGTCATGTATAGGTGCGCAGATGCATTGGGTCCAAGGTGCAGCTTGGGTATGCTGGCTCTCCATCAGTATAGTTGAGAAAAGTACATATTTACAGTATGCCTAGGGCATTTAATCTCTGTATAATGACAGCAGAGGATTTCTGGCTACCACAGAGGAGAAATCAGCATAGCCAAATGTGTGGGCATTCCTGCTGTGATGTGTTCCCATTACAGATATGTGCTAGTTCTTGAGCAGAGAAGGACATAACTAATAGAACAGTCTCTTCCTTTTTTTTATGTCTGTATTTAAATCTGTGATACAGCATCTGGTTCTTAGAGGACACCTCCTGTGGAAGAATTTGTAAAGGTCACAGAGATAAAAGCAGAGATGCTACTCATCACACTTGCCCCAAATAAATGTGGTGCTACAGTAACAATATTACCAGTTCTTCCACAAGTAAAAACTTTTTGTGTGCATTAAGAGACTGAAATCAGAAAGACAATATGTAATAGTGTCATCTGGTGACCTTTTGGATTGTGGAGTCAAAATATGTTATTCACAAAAGACATTTCATTTAGAAACACACACACAAAAAAACCCTTTAAACTTAATTTTTTAAACACCCTCAAAGTTCAGATTTACCAACAGTGTATATTGTATGTTGTTTCAGCCCATTAGAGATAGCTGAGGATATGCTCTTTCAGCATGGCTATAAAATGCTTCAGGTTGGTTGTTCCTCTAGAGATACTGACATTGAAAATGTTGAACAATTTTTGCATATCCTAATAGGCTATGTGGCTTCTCTTTTCAGCTGTGAACTGCGGTACCCAAACGGTTTGATGATGAGATGGGATTATTGTTAAAACACTGTTTCTCCAGTAAGAGGGATGACACCTATTGTAACAGGCCAGCCTCGCTGTTGTTGATAGAGCTGTTTCATCATGGCATTTGTCACAGGGCTTGATCTCCTGTGGGAGCAGCAAATTCTCCACATTGCTGCAAGCCATGGCATGCAGTCTCGTGTTTGATCCTTACTTAATGGGCTTAAGATCCTGTTCAATTTCTCAGCTGAAAAGAGCAGCAATAAAATATAAATACAGGCCCCTAGTTTTGTAGGGGGAATAGCTTGGAAGTATGTCTTTGTGTCCTAGCTGTGCCTCCTCAGAGCAAAGATAAGAAACCTGGTTATGTGTCTTGCTCAACAGTGGCTCAGATAATGAAGGATCATCTTAAATATTTTTTTCTAGATATATTTCTGCTTTTCTCCTCGTTTGTGCTTTTGGGGAGAGGGGCAGGAAGGAGATACAGTTGTTTCTATTAGAGCTCAAAGTAGTAGAAAACTAGTGCATGTACACTGTAGTTATAATGTAGTATGGTATCACATTTCCTTCCCAGTAATTAGTTACATGTAACGAGAAACATGCTTCACTTTACTATGCAGATAATTAGTTACCCAGACTTTAGGCCAGAAGGTAATAAATCTTGGCACAGATCAGTCATCACGTACATCACGCAGAACAAATAAGTTGTTGTAAATACCCAGATGTATGTTGGATGATTTTCAGTAAGTTACCAAAGCTGCAGACAAAAAGATAAATATACAGATAAATAAGTACTTTTAGCAGGCAGACTGTACTCACAAAGAGTATGTTTTTAATTTCTGGCAGCAGTAAAAAGAAATACTCCAGGGCACTCACCAGCAAAAGTATTTTGCTCTTCAAGACCTTAAATTCTGGGAGTCAGATGCCAACATTGTATTTTCTGAGCTTGAAAGACAAGAATATTATCATTTCAGTTTTTAGCTTTTTTAATTATTATTATTGAAGGAATCTGATTGTATATATTCTGCCTCTGAGCACACAGAATGTAAGCAAGCTTACTGAAATAAACAGCTTTCCTTATAATGAGGTTCTGCATGTAGAATCACACCAGAGATGAGGCTGATACTACTTCTGGAGATTGTCCAGTCCCAGCCCACCTCAGGCAGGCTCAGCTACTGCAGGTTGCTTAGGGTCGCACCTGGTTGTGTTTGGATATGTCCAAGGAGGGAGGCCCATGGGAAACCTGTTCCATTGTTTGACCACCCTCATGGCAGAAGAAATTTCTTGTATTTCAGTCTGTGCCATTGCTTCCTGTCCTTTCAGTGGGCACAACTGAAAAGGATCTGGCCCCTTTGCACCCTCCTGCGAGGTATTTACACAGCATGTGAGCTCTTCCTGAAACTTCTCCATCTTGATGAGCCCTAGCTCTTTCAGCCTCTCCTCCTATGACATGGTCTGGTCTACATACTACCCCAAACATCTGGAATGATACACAGGCAACTATTTTTCTTTTGTATGAGCAAATTCAGGAATTCTTCAGACTGAAAGTGTCAATATTTTAGGTCATTATTTTTGTATCTGATTATTAATTTTTTGTGGGTTGTCTGAGATCACCATTAATTTTATAAAGACACCCCTCACATTTGTTTTATACATGAGATAAAAAGGAAGCAAGAAATTAAATCAAGATGAGTCACATACACAGTCCCTGCATCAAGGTAGCTAATTGTGTATCAGGCAAAATTCTTGTTAGTAACCTCAAAGTCTGCTTTTTAGTCACTTTGCAGAAAGAATGGGCAGTGTGTGTTTGTATGCTGTGTATTATGTGTTACAGATACTCTCTTCCTAGATCGGTGTTCTGGATTTTGCAGATTAAATTCTTTCTGATGTATTTCATTTTAAATAGCTTCAGAAAGGGAAACCCTGCTCTGCACAGAGCTAAGTTTGAGGGAATGATACAGAGAGTTGCTTTAACATTGGTTTCCTGGACTCCTTACTGCCTACTTAACACACCTTAGAGAAAAATCACACACAAAAAAAGGGAGTGTCTAGAAGAAACGGAAGAACTTATTAATTGTTGTCCCTGAAGAGCATGGTATAAGCCAAAGGAGAGCAACCTCTGGTGTCCCACAAGTGGAGAATGGGGCACTTTTCTCATGGGGTTATGAGGTAAAAGATGATTCGTGAAAACACTTGAGACATGCCACTTTTTAATAGCACAAACCTGTTCCTACAGATCAGTTTGGCTGCCTTGCTCAGGACAGCCTCATGGCTTCCTCTTGCTGGAGAAACTCCGAGTAGTGCAGAGATGCCAGAAAGTCCAGGAGAGCAAAAACCAAGGTGTTCTAAAGTACCACTAATGCCAAATTCTAGAGAGTTTGCATTGTAGAGGTACTTCAATATCTCTTATTTTGGCGCATAAGCCTGGTATAAAGTATCCTTGAGATTATGAAGAAACAGTGTTAATGGACACAAAACCTACTTTTACTTTATGTGTGAGTATATCTAAAACCAGGCAGTCTAGGGTCAAAATTTGTGAAATTTGGCTTTCTTAATTGTAGACTCAGGTTTTAAAGACTGTTGACACAAGGTGAAGGTTTTTGAGAAGTTTTGATAGGTGTTACTTAGCAGGGTGCATTCATTGTCCATCACAGTAGGAGCTTTGTGATCTGCCCACAGAAACAGGCAGCTCTATTGCGCCACCTGTTTTCTGTTATGAAACTGCTTTCTGCAGTAGGCACATGTACTTTGGCATATTTGTTTTGCTGTTGCTTGATTCCAATGAAGCCTCCTGTGTGCAAGATAAAAGCAAAGCACGTAAAATTTATGCGTAATGATGAATAAATGGATTATTCCAATGAGACATGAGGAAATACGGTTTTAATGATAATAAATGAAACTAATGATAATGATAATAAAAAAAACTATGAACCATGTGAAAAATATTTATGCCCAATGCAAACAGTTAAGACTTTGCTGGTAGAATCTTACCTTAGTACCTGTCCAGCTATAAGAGAAAACAGATGAAACTATGATGTGACCGTGTTCTGGGAATTATGTTAAGAAATTATTTTTCCCATTCTGAAGTCACATAGAGAAACACCAATCTCTGCTGAACTTTTATTCAGGCACAACGTAAAGAAGATCAAAAGAAGCTGTTTGATTTCTTCAGATTGCCATTATGAGCTGGCAGCACTACCTTGTCACAGTGGAAGCCAAACACCTTTTCTGTGAGCAATATCTGAGGTATTAACTAGGACTGACTGAAGGGATCAGTGACATCTCATCAAGAACTTGGACTTCCAAGAAACTCTGAACAGCATTAAAATTCAGTCATCTCCCCCATTTTTTGCTGAAACTACTAGTAACAGAGCCTGTTTCTGAGCAACTGATACTTTTTTCACATGAATTGAAAATAAGTTTATTATCACCTTTGTTTTACCAGCTGCTTGTTCCTCAACACATTTATTCTGTGTGCCTCACTGATTTTTGAGATTTTCTTCTTAGAATGAGCCCCCTCCCCCTTTTATATTTCCCTGCAGTTACAGAAGCTTTTTCAATTTGAAGGGCAATAAAAATGCATAGAAGATCACATCATCTTGCTTGCACTTACAGCAAGGTGAGATTGGTGTGGCATAAGACTCCTCCAGTACTGGTATTGTGATCTGAGTTTCTTTACATCCCACAAAGAGAAGTAGATGCACCTACAGTGGATATGTAAAAAAAATATTGCTGAATTACACCCAGGAAATACTTTTTCTATTATGTACTGTGGGAAATTACAGATCTTGATCAGAGGTTGACTGCGGTATTTAGACAGATGCACCCCATCTCACTCACATGACAAAAGTTTATTTAAAATTCTTTATTCACTGCAAATAATGAGGTTTCAGTCAATTTTAGGGCTAATCTCCAAATAAATTTTCTAGGAAAATATTTATCTTTATTTTTTTTTATTCTTAGATTTGGTGGCTAAACCTAAATAATGAATTAATTAAACAGCCCTAGCATCAGCTGCTTCCCTTCCATTTACTGGACCATGTCTGACACTCCGTAAACATGAAGATCTTTTGAAAGAGACAAATATCTGGGCAGGTATGTGAGACATGAGGTGAGGTGTAGTGGAGGGCTGCATCCCACTTTTTTGAGGTCCACTTTGTTCATTACCCCAGTAAGGCTCTTTACAAGCAGCAGTACAAACAATACTCAGAAGAGTGACCAAGGTTACCAGTAAGGGATTGAACTCTGTCTGGGAGTCTTTAGCCAGCAACCATGATAGTTATGTAGGACATGGATTTCAGCCTAATCACAGAATCACAGAATGGTTTGTGTTGGAAGGAGTCATCTAGTTCCACCTCTCCCCTCCCCTGCCATCAGCACGGACACCCTCCAGTAGACCAAGTTGCGCATTGGTATGAAGCCTTAAACCTGACCAAATTTCAGTTATTGCAAGAAACCGGTGAATACCTTCAGTATCCTAATAGCAGAGTCACAAGGTTTTCAATTACCACCCCCTTCATTCCACAGCAGAAAGCACTTCACATCACAAGGAGTAGAAAGGATTAAAACAATTGAATTGTAATGAGCGACTGCCAAATGCACTGTAAATGATCAAGAGGGAGCAGGAATAGAAAAAGGAGCTGGAAGGCACTGTAGCATTGCCATTTTCTATCTGCCATTCACTGATGATAGAAGATGTCCTAAATCTTTATAAAACAAAACTCATTTACCAAAGATTTAAGTAGGATGAATGGCAGGTGTCAAACAAAAGGGTTAATTGCAGTTTCTAATGAGTTGCTTAGGAATAGGGAGGAACAGGCAGTAGCTGCTGTGAGCTTGACTGAAATAGACAAACAAAACAGTTTACTTATTTCAGGTTTTTCTACTCATATCTTTATGCCTATGTACTAAACATAGATGTATTTATATTAAATTGTCTTAAGATGCACCAGCACATAAACTTCCATAGGAATCACAGCACACTCAGTGCTAGGACACAGTGCAGAGAGCGGTGAAAGCTGTGGTTTGCTGATGTCTGTTGCACTAGTATCTAGTGCGTTGTAGGGGTTTCAGTTATCTTCAGGAACTGCTGTGGCACTGCAGTGTTCTTTGCATTCAGTAGTCAAGGGGCATTTTTAAAATGGTAGTCTGGTTCAAATATGGTTAGATTTTAGTTTTTCTTGCAAGATTTATCTGTGTAGGAGTCCTCACTGAATTGCAATTAACTAAGCACTTTGCATACATTATGTTTGTGCTGCATACAGTAGGGTTGTATGGGGTTGTTACTCAGCAAAAGCAGCAGAAACATATCTGTTCTACCACACACTGTCATAATATGGATTGTGAAGGAAGAGCACTTTGCAACCAGGCATACTTGCTCTTTGTAAGACCAATCTCTTCTACTCTGTGGGTTTATACAGCCAAAGGCAAGTTGCTTTAGATGATAGGCCAGTGTAAAGGCATTCAGTTAAACCTGCTGTAAACAGGCTTGCTGCAGAAACCTGCCCAGAAGCAGTGGAGGTGTAGTATTTTGCCTTTGTGTCTCACTGTAAGATAAAGGCAATAATGGATGGTGTTAATAATGCATTAAGTGTATGTGAAATGTACCTGACTGAAATGTGTACGTACCTGACTGAAATTGTTTGGCAAAAAGTCATTTTTTGACAAGACCTAAGTATTATTGGGTCTTGTGTTTATTTCTTCTCTCTTGGAAGCACTCAACATATCTGTGAAGAAGGTTCTCATAAATCCAGCTAGCTATTTGATGATTCTCTGGGTAGAAAATAATCTTTCTGTTCTCCCAGGCAGAAAGTGGTCTTTCATCCTATATAGAGAAAGGTGATAGAAAAATGGAGACATTCAAAGCAATACTACAAAACCTTCAATTTGTGACCCTATCACAGTCCTTACTAGACTTTAATCCTTTTACATTCTTATAGGAGGCTTTTGAGACTTGTGTATGATAGCTTAGGCATAGAATGAAGGGAAATATGACAGTGAAGACAACTTTATATAGGGAAACCTCCTCTCTTGGTTCAAGAAAAACAGTTTTCCAAGGAGAAGGTATTTGAGTCCTGAAACCAAGAGTGAATAAACAGGTGGGGCATAGTGCCCATGCCCTTTCTCAGAGTCATATTCTCTAGTAAACAAGTCGATAAATGAAACAGAACTTCGTTTATGTATTGACAAAATAAAAGATTTTGTGGGATGCCAGTTAATGTGTGGGAGCATGAATGGTTAATGTTTGCAGAAGTTATTCTGAAAAGCAGGTCACTAAGGCTGTGTGTTTAGAAAAGCATAGTTAGACAAAGCAGCTGGAACCTCTGAGCTCATGTGTGTAGTCTGCAAATCGCTGTGGGAACAAACTGAAGAAATTATAGTGTGTGTATCTTTTGAAGCAAGGAAGATACAGAGTAAACCTATTTCTGAGTCAAAGGTACTTTTTTGATGAACAAGTTTTATTTATTGTGTAGTCTGGGGGCACAGCCCAGTTCCAGATGTTTTAATCAGTCCCCAGACCCTACATCATCTTATTCTATGCAAAAATTTGCAAAGCAATGGTGAATCATGGACAATTAATTTTAAGGAACCCAGACACATGGATAATTCTTCCTTTGTCATATTAAAAGCTTAGAAAGCCTAGTAATTACTCCAAGTAAGTATCTACATGACAGTTAGAAATTCAGAGCTGAATTGTTTTGGTAACCAGTAGGTATCCTCATATCTTTCTGGTACCTGCTGGTTAATAAAACATTTCAGCGCTGTGAAGGGAGGGAAGATCATATTTCATTGAATGTTCAATTGTGAGCAGGCCAGTAGGTCCTTATGATTCAAAGCAAAGCTGTCTTTTCACTGACATGCCAAGTCTTTCTGTAGAAACACTACTTCTTCCAGTCATCCAGCAGGAAGCAGAAATACTTGATTTAATATTGTTTGACTTTTTTCTTGCTTCAGGCACCTCTCTTCACCTTACGAAGATTTGTCATTAAGCAGCACTGTTATGTAAACTGTTGCATTGTACTTTATTGAGTGGAGCTCAGTTACACAGCTTTCAGCCATCATTCCTGGTATCTGAACAAGGACAGCATTCTGTAGGTTTAGCTTGGAATGGAATTGTTGCCACCATGACAAGTGGTTACTTGTTATTTAATTAAATTCTATATTTGGCCACACTATTAATTGGCAAGAGTAATTCTTTGACAAAGTCAACCAACTACTGAGTAATTACTGAGTCTCTCAATAGAAACAATTACATTTTTAATCATTACATTGCTGCATTACAGTACCTGTCATCTCATTTGGGTACTGTGCTAATTTTAGCCATTAGATAAGCCAGCTATGATTCCTTTATATTCATGAGCTGATTCTGTTGAAAATTTTCATATCATTTAATCGTTCTTAGGTAAGTGATGTTAGCCAAGACTGAATTTCTGAACTATAGTGTTTGTTGCTAGAGAAGTTAGATAGGTAGAGTTAGTTAGGTAGACCTGCACCCTATTGAATGGGGTTTAGGTACCTAAGTATACAATTTTAGTAGAATCATAGAATACCAGGTTGGAAGAAACCTCAAGGATCACGTGATCCAACTTCTCTTGGATTGACGATTTTGGTGATTTTCATAATGTTTACTCATCTTGGAAGCAGATAACACCAGTGCTCCTGAACTGCAGGTCTGCACATGTATGTAACTCTTCTCTGTCAGTGGCATTCAGTAACTGAGCAGCTAGCTTGTATATCACCTAGACATGGTATGGAAACTCAGCCATCCTCTGATATACTACCTGAGGTGTCTCTTTGTGGAAGACTTATGGGTTAGCCAACACACGTATGAGAGGACTGGGCTTCTCACAAAATGAACTACCTCAAAGGTTTTCGAGATCCAGCTGGACACAGCCTGAGCACCTGGCACTGAATGCAGTGTTGCACTTCCTTCAAGCATGAATTTGACCTGGAGACCTCCCTAGGCCCTTTGCAGCTCAAATGGTTCTGTAACGTCATTGGAATTCAGTGTCTGCAAGAAGCAAGCTGCAGATCTAACTAAAATTTGGCCTGTAGCACATCAGTGCTGTCTCTGTTGTCTCTCAGGAGAGCATTTTAACCATTGGGCTGTAGGCTCAAACAAACCATTGAGGGCCACACTTCTGCTTCTCTGAGGGAAGGCCTGCCACTGATTTTCTGATGCAAGGATGAAGCATGGAGCAGTCTGACTTCGGGCTTGCAGCAAGGACTTCCCTGTTTGGTAGAGAGGACTCCCAACATGGCGCATGTCTTACGCATCTTATTCATCTTATTCATATAGATTCATATTCATTTCAAAGGATTTTGAATTCTTAATTTTCATGAACCTGGATTGCTCTGTTTCTAGGCAAGGAAGAGGCAGAAGAGGGGAAAAAAACAGTGATGTCAACACAAGGTCAAGAGCCTATGCATGTATTTTTCCTGGGGACCTCAACAGCAGTAGCAGTGGTGATTGTGTGGTGTCTGTAAGCTCTAAAATAGCTCACAACACCACGGTGTGGGCACTTGGGCACTGAAATGTGGCAGAATCAATAGAAGTGGCCTTTCAGCATGCAGTAGCAATGCCTACCCAGCTATCTCAGAGCAATTGCTTACATTCAGGAGCCAGCCATGAGCTGGGGCATACAAGTAAAAAGGTGTGCCTTCTTGCTACCTGGGTTGAGGTACTGAAATCTTCCTCTGCCTATGTCCATAGCCACACTGTGTCCTGTT